AAAAGGACTGCTTGTTCACCCCAGCCTAGCATCTGACTTGAAAATGACATGTGGTCTAGAAGTGCTAATGCACATGGTCACAAGGCATCAGGGTGCATCTATCTCTGGTATGATCTGTTATCAGAGTACTTGTGTCCAGGGCATAGTGAATGCATCTTCAGTTATTTTTGGGAGCAACACTGAATATGATACTAATTGAAGATGTAAAAAGGAAATTATCTCTTGTTGTGTTTTGATTTGCAAAAAAGAAAAAAAGTTTCAATACTGAATGGAGTCATCTTATTTTCCATTAAATCAAGTGTGTGACAAAACTTCAATATGCTTTTTAAGTAACAGAATATGGAGCTGTGGTTTTATTAAAAGAACAACAAAAGAATTCCTGTCGTTTCTGCCTGGCTTTAACGTATCGATCTCGTCGCCATTCCACCATCAAAAAACTCTTCACAGATCATATAATAGCAGCCCCGGTCAAAGGCCACAACTCTAAGTACCAGGGCTTGTTTGCACATTGCGCACATTATTTATAATGGAATACATGGCTTGATGAATGAGCTCCCATGATCTTCCTCTCAATCTCTCTATTGAGCAGGCATGTCCTCCTGAAGGGGGGCTCAGCGGAGAAAAAAGAGGAGAGCATGCGTTTTAAATTAATCAATCCTTCTCATTTCCCCCTCTCCTCTTAGGCAGACAGACCTCTCCTAGAGGGGGGTCTGCGGCAGTGGGGAGGAAAAAAAACAAAACACTGTCGTCTGTTTTCATGGAGGTGGCAGAGGCCCAGCCTCTAGCTGTGCTTTGGCTAGCTGAAAGGAGAGAGAGAGAGAGCGAGACAGAGAGAGAAAGAGAGAGAGAAAGGGAGAAAGAGATGAGAGTGAGGAGGGGTAAGGGGTTATGGGAATAAAGGAGAAAGGAGAAAGGAAGGATTGAGTAGAGGGAAAGGTGCAGGAGGAGGGAGGTCGAGGGAAGTGGGGAGAGTAGAGATAGGCAGGAGAGAGCAGGAGGCCACATGCTAGGAGTTGGGTCATGATAATAGTTGAGGATCATGAGATATGCTGGCCTCCATACGTGTGCAAAGGCAGCTCACAGATGACAGTTCAGTGGCATACCAGGCACTGATCCAGAGTCTCATCCCCAATGGGAAGAGTCTCTCTTTCTCTCTATCTGACGGCCTCTCTCTCACACACACAAAATCACTCACTTTCTATTTCTCTCCATTTTACTCTCTCTCATCTCTCTATTGTCATCCTTGGTCCCATGTTGTACAATAAACTCTCCCTCAATGCCTGTCTTCACTGGTGCTCATAATCAAATTAGATTTGCTCCAAGTAGCGGGAGGAAAGACTAACTCTCAGTGCAGACACCAAACAGACAACGCCCTTCAACTGACATTTGTTTTCTCAATAACTTGGCTCAGGCAATAAGACGGGAATGGTAGATGTCACACTCCCACACAGGCGCGCGCACTCACGTGTACGCACATAGCGTAAACAGAGTATTAACTAGGTTTAAGACAATGACAACAAACTCAGCGTGTGGGTTTCCCCCAGAGGTCTATGAGCTAAATATCTCAGAGAGACCATTGTTCGCCTTAGGCTCCTGTTTACAACCATTCCTGACCTCATTGCCACATGTGTGTCACTGTAGTTGTCAGGGAATTTATATATGAGCATGTGTGTGTGGGTCTAACTTAAGAACATATTTCCAATATAAATATTAAAATGTTGGTTGGGAGAATATAATTTAAGTATTGCATAATGACAAATAAAAGAGTCGTTCCATGACAGGAAGCCAAACTCTAGAATAATCAATTAGCCCCAAAAAACAGATAATTGTAGACACTTGATTTGCTAATGTCCCTGCTCTGAATGATTTGTCTGATCAAGAGAAACTCTTTACCTTGTTAGAACTGTAAAGTGCATGGTTTGTCTCTGCTGCAGTACTACACTGATCGTCATTGTCCATGCTTCCGACATGCCTAACCCTTTGCCACCAAAGCCACTGTTTATCCAGCCCAACAAGCACATGAGCAGCCATAATGACACTAATTACCCAAGAGCTCACTTTTCCTCTGAGTGGTTGTGCACTGCACTGAGCCTTGAGAGCCATCTGTGTTCCCGTCTTAAATCGATCTATCTTGCACATTCCAAAACTACAAGAGGACAGGGAAAGGCACCACTCCCATTCATAAATAATGTGTATGAGGTGCGGGGGATGTGGGCTACTGTTTCTCTGTGTGTCTGTTGGAGCAGGGAGTTGGACCTCTCTAGCCCACTGGAGATCTGGGAGAGGAGCAGCTCATGACATCTGACCCCAGTAGCTACTATCTACCTTCACAGGCTGGAGGTGAAGAACACTGACAATATGACCGGATATTGTACTTTTAGAGAATGTTTTTTATCCTCCTTTTAGCTTGTGGGCATCTTACATTGCATTTACGTTTCTTTTTTTTTTGTTTCTTTTTTTGTTGTTGCTATGAACGAGTTTCATTTATTCTTACACCACCACATTACATGAAATATATGGTATTATTTAATAGAGAGTGGTACATGGCACACAGGTGTTCAGAAACATTAGCTAACAGCCCTTTTATTCTGATTTGTGCTACTGATAATCTGCATCACAGACAATTATTATAGACTATGGAAACAGAAAAGATGTCTTTTTTAAAGGATCAGGTAAGTGGAATAATGACAGTTAGAGCAGTAAGTGACAATTATTTTCATTATTGATTAATCTGCTGATTATCTTCTCAATTGATCCATTAGTCAACAGATAACACTGAAAATGCACGTCACAATATCCCAGAGCACAAGGCGACGCAACATGATTGACCAACAGTCCAAAACCCCAAAATATTTAATTTACTTTTACTGTAAGACTAGAAAAGGCAAAAAATTCTGACAATTGCTAAAGTGAAACCATCACATTTTTGCCATTCTCCCTTAGTAATGAATCTTTTTTTTTTTTTATAAACTAATTGTTGCAGCTCTAGGCATAGTTATTAAACTATTGAACAAATTGCATTAAATTGATATTAAAGGAATAGCTCCACATTTTGGGAAATGCTCTCATTTACTCTACTGTCTATATTTAGATGAAAAGATCAATATCACTGTCATGTCTGTGCGTTAAATATTCAGCTGGAGCCAGGAGGCAAAAGTAGCTTAGCTTAGCATAAAGACTGGATGCAGGGGCAAACAGCTAATTTGACTCTCTCCAATGTTGACCCAGCTACATCTTATTTGTTTACACAAAAAAATGTTTAAATGTCAATGACAAGTTGTGGTTTGTAGGGAGTTGGACCTGTTATTCTTTCTTGGACAACAGCGTCTAGGTGAAGTGACTTTCTGGTGAAACCACTCCAATGCACAGGCAGTAGAGTGGTTCCTTATCTAACTCTCAGAAAGACAGTGAGTGTGTATACCAAATAGTTGAAATATTCCTTTAAAAAGTGATTCAGTCCATAAACTTGTATGCAGTCACTGGTATGACTGTCTGTGTCATAAGCTAGCAGTGCTATATATGATGTTATGTCCATTTTAATAGTAGCAAAGTCGATCAATTTTGTATGAGCTCCATTATGATTTAGCTGGATAAATCAGGTCAGGTCCATTTCCGCCCTCTGAAAGACTTATAGCCTGGAGTTATTTTGAGTAAAGTTTCATTCAGTATTCAGATCTCTCCAGACTCTTTGGCTTCTCTCACTTTTTGTGGAAGGTAAAAAAAACAAACATTTATAGACAATCATTAGAAAATAAGGATGAGCTGTTACAGCTGACTTTGGCCACAGTCAGACATATGACCAAAACACATTGCAAAACACGGCATTGCATGGCTCTATCCTGTGATCTGTATCAAAAGACACACAGTGCTGTGGGTGAGTAATACTGTGCACTGTCATCCACTGATGTGTTTTCCAAAAAGGTGAATTCAAAGAAGTGGAATTACCTTTGAATTGCCCTCTTTGTGATCTTGAGATTGCAGAGAAATGAGGGAAGCACAGTACCTCTTCATGCTGGAGGTTAATGTGTGTCTGTGCTCACTTGTCAGATGTAATTGAAGGGAACAGCTTATGAAAATGAGGTGGCAGGGATGAGGTCTTTAATTAGATCAAGATCATGGACAGAAATGAATTAGAATCACCACTCTCATTACCCATAGCAAAACTGGAGCAGCACGACAGTGAATAGATGAAGGAAAACTTTAATCTCTCAGACACAGTGTTACTGTATGAAGAGGGTTTTTAGGGACTACTGCTCTATTTTGTTGTGCCTCACTTGACCAAACCAGAATTTAAAAGTGTACATTTATGCCATTAATCTCCATGTTGCTATATCTGATGCATGATATCATAAACTCACTTAGTTCATTACTTGTGAATAATCATATGCATGTTAGAGCTCAATTTAGCCTAGATAAATGACACATAATAATGCTACATAGAACTCATATGCCATCTGGTGGTGAGATTGTTTGAAGAACAAACAGAAAAATAGCAGGTGACAGAATTAGATGATAAAAAATAATCAAGATATTTTTGAATTTATTAGTAAAAAAAAAAAGATGCATTTTTTTCTGTAACCTGATAGTAAATATGAGTGATGAGTGATGAGCAAATGTGATGGTATTTGATTACATGTCCAACAATAATCTTGGCAAATACGTCAACTTGCTGGACAGGGACAAGAAAACATGATTAAATGATTATGTTTTATTGAGGCAAATAATTTGTTATTACTTTCTATCCTATTGCAAAAACGTACACTTGCACTGACCTTGAAATACTTCATTCACTCCAACACATGTGATGTCACACGGTGACGACACTGCACTACGGGAAATTGCTTCCCACAGAAAAGCCTCACAGGAAGACTTTCTCAGTAATCTACCCTGATTTCATCCACCTGATTGGTGGATCTTGTGGGGGCGGTCGCCTGAGATTTGCCTTAGAGGTAAAGAAAAGGGCATAAAGTCGTCCATAAAAAGCCAAACGGAAAGAAACAAACTGTACCAAGGCGGAACTGTGAGCCTCAGTCAACCTCTCCTACACGTGCTTCTTCTGCAGCAGAAACGTGGAGTTTGATGCTTCGTAATAGAAGAAATTTCATACAGCGATAAACGTCACCTGTCAACACACCTTTGGACGCCAGTTTCTCTGTAGCCGTTAAGTGAGTTTGTGTTTGATTTATTTGGATTTAAGGGATCCACGTTTTGTCCTAGAAAGGCTGTCAACAGCTAGAAATGTTGCAAAGTTAGTCGTCTCTAAATTGTTAGCTAGCTGGCTAACTGAACTGCTGTTTGTTGTAGACTGGGCATATTTACGTCATCTCAGTGTGGATTAAATGTTAACGCTCAGTTTGGAAAACTATGGTTGAGGGAAAATAGTTTGGCAATTCAGAGAACAGTAGCTAACTAAGCTGGGTCTTACTTTTCAGTCACTCCGGTTAAACAGCTTTGTATAATTGTGTACATTTAACCTCACGTTGTTAATTAACACTGGCATAAAGATTGACGGAATGATAATTACCCTGAAGGCTCAAGGAAGTTTCCCTAACATTTGCGCGCTTACTGTGTGACTGGTATTTCCCGCCATCTTCATTTTCACATCATGAAATATAATGGCGGGAATTGAAATAACAGTTCAAACTGCAATGACTTTCAGATGTGAGACGCTTTAAACACACTTTCAGTTGAAGTTGCGATACCTTTTGATTTTAATCCGATGTTCAGTGTCGTCATTCTTTATGTGTCCGGTTAATGTAAAGGCATAATCCAGCTATCCAGATGTAAACAAATGTGTAGCTCCATGTCAAAGTTTGAAAACATGGTAGCTTAACCTGCTGCCGAATTGACTGCCTTTAATATTTTCTGGTGCGGATTCAGGGTTGTTTCATGTCACATTGGTAAAAGTTGAAAACACAGTGAGAAATAAGGTTACATGTAAGGCTTCTGGTAGTTTGGTCAATACTGTAAATGAAGCCAATTGTAATTTAATATCCACTTGAATAATATAGCATTACCACTGCTCATAATATCTATATTGATCTCACACGTGGTCGAACAGATTCAGTTGAGCAGTTTGAGAAATGCCTGGGAGGTATAGTAAAAAGTGTTTATGCAGGTTATTTACTTTGCCTTGTTTTTTGTGTTAAGTCTTCACATGCCACTATGAAGTACATCCTTGTTACCGGCGGTGTCATATCTGGCATTGGCAAGGGAATCATTGCCAGCAGCGTGGGAACAATCCTCAAGTCCTGCGGCCTTCACGTCACAGCCATCAAAATCGACCCCTATATCAATATTGATGCTGGCACCTTTTCACCGTATGAACATGGTGGGTAATTGAGTATATTCGACAAGGTAGCTTTTTTTTTTTTTGAATTGTCTTTGACGGTATCATCTGCTCATTTCCTTTATTGTTTGGTTGAGTTCTACAGTTGTTATATTTGACAAGATGCTGTGTGAGAGCACGGTCTAGTTGGTAGACAGGCCGCCCCCTTAGCTGAAGTGCATTGAGTCAAGCTTTTTCAATATGATTGATATCATCTCAACGAGAAAGTACTGAATTACTTCCAGTTTTGGATCTGCAGTTTCTTAACCCTATGATAAATGCCTATTGTGTCCATGTTGTGCAGGGGAAGTATTTGTTCTTGATGATGGCGGGGAGGTGGATCTTGACTTGGGGAACTATGAGCGTTTCCTGGATATCCGTCTTACTAAAGACAACAACCTCACCACTGGAAAGATCTACCAGTCTGTAATCAACAAGGAGAGAAGGGGAGACTACCTTGGCAAGACTGTACAAGGTTAGAGATTGCTGTATTTAATTTGCTGGTGGTGAAAGGAGACTTTGATACAAAGCAGGTTATTAGGAAAAGCAGCTTTACGTGTTTTTCTTTGTGACTGTTTGTGGGATATTTGTATTTTTATGTCTATATTTAGGACAGAGAGGGTCCAATGTGCAATGCAAAAAATTTTTACGTGACTTTTTGATTGTATTTACCCGCGTCTGTTTTCTCAGTGGTGCCCCACATCACAGATGCTATCCAAGAGTGGGTAATGAAGCAAGCCAGGATTTCAGTGGATGACGATGGTGTGGAGCCTCAAGTTTGTGTAATTGAGGTAAGTTGTTCTGTCAAGGCAGAGGTGAATCTTGTATTCAGTGTGAAAGGACACTGAGCACAGTCTTTCTAAGGTCAGAAGTGTCTTGTTGCCATGGGCCACTCTTAAATGATTTTTTGACTAGGGCATTTTTCTGCTAGTCTGTTTAAAAAGAAATGGAGGAGGTTTTCGATCAGAAATGAAATCAAGCATGTTGCCTCAAGCAAGAGAAAATATTGGCTCATTCGGCGGTGGGAGAAACTGCTGAACCTACACAAGTGGATGAGCCAATGAAGCAGAAAAACAAACAATATTTTTCAAAACTGAAAAATCGAGGAATTTAAAAATTCATTTGTCAAGGAGAGTCTGAAATTATCCACTTGTTTAAGGAATGAAAGAGACTACAGACTGTTTTTTATTTAGTTAGAAAACTCAAACCAGTCATGGTAGTGGTAGAAATAAAGTGTTTGTTTGACAATATGTGCTGTAGGAGTATTTCATCTCTTGTAAATTTGTAGCTGAAAATGGTCACACCCTCGTAAACCAAGTTAAATTATTACCCTGCCTCCAGCAGTTCCTTTCATGCGGCATGAATCAAAGGCAGCTCTGACAGTATTATGGACTGGGTGCAGCAGATGAAATTCTGTACTTTCCAAGTCAGAGTATGCAAGGTGCTGAGAACCATCCTGGATGCTCATGCATGCACTTCTGTGGTCTAAGCTGGTGTTTTGTGTCAACAGCTGGGAGGCACAGTGGGGGACATCGAGAGCATGCCCTTCATCGAGGCCTTCAGACAGTTCCAGTTCAAGGTGAAAAGGGAAAACTTCTGCAACATCCATGTCAGCTTGATACCACAGGTATGGCGGACAAATGAACACACACATCATGTATTCATCACCAAATAACACAGGGAGCAGGATATTTGCAGGGTGACTGTTTCAGCATTATTATTACAGTTTACTGTAGTTTAGGTTTTGTTATGGTTTTTGAATTAAAGGACAAGAGCTATTGGAACAGTCGAACCAGCACCATTAACATTATGAGGTGAATTTGCTTTTGTCTCCAGCCAAATACTACAGGAGAGCAAAAAACCAAACCAACTCAAAACAGTGTCCGAGAGCTCAGAGGACTGGGCTTGTCTCCAGATTTGGTGAGTCAGATTTACGATTTGTTCTTAATCTTTGCTCACCCCCATGCCTCAGATATTAACCCCATATAAACCCACTATGCTATCTTTCTCTTTATGTGTAGATATATCGGTAATTCTTCATCTCATGGCATAAAACAAACCAAAAAAATTAACATAAAGTTTAAGATATGATCTTTGCATAGGCAACTTTGAAACTGTACCTTGGTCCTGTTGTATAATATGATTTAGAAATAAACATATAAAATTTTGTCAGATTATGTGCCGCTGTACAACGCCCCTAGAAACGGCTGTCAAGGAGAAGATCTCCATGTTTTGTCACGTGGAGCCCACACAGGTGAAGTACCATGATTTTTCTACAGTAAACCTCATTTGAAATTCTGTGTGTAGAGCATGCTGCCAACATTAGTTATGATCTAGTGAAATTCCTGTTGTCCACCTACATCTGCAGCTGTGGTATGGTACGATGTATTTGATAATAGAAGACGTATACAGTACATACAATATAAGAAGGACATGAGCTATGGAAGCAAGGTTAATTACTACCACATTGTTTGTTAGTATCAATTAGAATTGAATGATATTTGATCAAATTGTTATCTGATGTGTGAAAGTGTTGGGCACTGGCTGGTGCCTTCTGCTGGAATGTAAGAGCAATGGAGATGAAATTAAAAATATCTTAAAAAGCCACATCAAGTAAATAACAGTATAGTTCGAGAGTGATGTAATGTTAATGTAGAATAATTTTCAAACATTCATTTATTTCATCAGGTAGCCTGTTTACAGTCAATTATATGTCACAAGTTAAAATCACAGTGTAAATGAAGGAGTAGTCTGTGATCCACAACAGGAAACTGACAAGTACATAGCAGGGAAAAACAATTATGCAAAACAAAAATCTGTCAAGCGACCTTCAACAGGCATCTCACCTGAAACATGGCTATTTAATAAAGTGTTGACAGTGTGTTGGACTTGACTTTTATTTTTTGTTAGTTTTTTTGTGAAATAACAGTGTATAAATGTTGACATTGCTCAGCCCTACTGTCAGGTACAACTGAAATAACATGTTTTGTAACTCTTTCCAGGTGATCTGTGTCCACGATGTCGCCTCAATCTACAGAGTGCCTCTGTTGCTGGAGGAGCAGGGTGTCGTGAGCTACTTCTGTCAGCGGCTGAACCTGCATGTCGAAACTAGGCCCAGAAAGATGCTCACAAAGTGGAAAGAGATGGCTGATAGGTGAGGAGGCTTGTCTTTGTCACTGACTTTTTTCTCCCCTAGTTTTGTGTCTTGCTCGAGAAAAATGAGGATATGGACACAAATGATTTACTTTTTCAGGTAATGGACCAGTCAGTTTAACCACAGAGACAGTTTGTCACCTCTAGGAATTGTTAGAAACCAAAGATCGTAGAACTATGAAAGACAAAATGTTCCTCAGTCACTACAGCACACTGGAAGTGGAAAGTAAAATCCACTGAACATTGAATTGTTCTTTGAGTAGCTGTGAGGCTATGACTATGATTCAATGATGCACCGGCTCAGTTCTGTGAATCATCTTCCTCTCTGCTCAGATCTGACCGTCTCCTGGAACACGTTTCCATAGCCCTGGTGGGGAAGTACACCAAGCTATCCGACTCCTACACCTCAGTCATTAAGGCCCTCGAGCACTCAGCCCTCGCCATTAATCACAAACTAGAGGTCAAGGTATGGAAACATTTCACGCTTTTTATGTTCTGCATATTCATGTCTGGATTTAGCATCACTGCTTTGTAGTTCAGAATTGGAATAGTGCCTTACAGTTTTTCAGTCTGTTGGCCATGATGTTGACTGATCTCCTTCCAAATGCTGTGTTTGGTATTACAGTACATCGACTCTGCAGACCTGGAGAGTACCACTCTGCAAGATGAGCCAGTGAAATATCACGAGGCCTGGCAAAAACTCTGCAGCTCTGAGTGAGTAGACATACCCGGGAGAACACAGGTGCCAGTAGGCTTGGATGAGGTTTGACACTGGTGATCCAGTGCTATTCATGCCACATGATGGCAGCAGAGTGCTGTCATGCCCGGTGGTTCACGCAGCTTCATGAAACGGGTCAGTGAGGACTTCTGTGCTTTATAGAAATGCACAATTTTTTATTATTACTTTTCAGAAAAAAAAGAAGAACTTAAATTTGGGAGTTTTAAAGCTTATTTTCGACTGGGCAGTAAAATGGGGATGTTTGTATCCAGACTGCAATCAAAGAAAGGGTTGTAGGTTATTGGTTTTCTTGTTTTTTAATAAAGAAAAGATGCTTTTGTTAATGATTTTTTTTATGCATTAGTTGTAAGAGTTTATGGAGAAAAGCCAGTGTGTCCTACTGTAATCAGTTTTTGATCATTTCTGAACACATAGCAACTCAAAAAAGAAAATTGCATGTTAGACAGCAACTTAGTCCAGTAGCCATACAGTAGGTTTTTGAACTATCTTACCAGACTGATTGCTGTTAAGCAGCCTAGCGTTCCAGAGATGAGCACAAAGTGTTTAGTGCCATAGAAAAATCTCCGATCACTAAGTGTGAAGAAAAATGAAGTCTGCACTTACATGCTCAAAGTCTCCCAATTATACACACATAATTATCATAAGAAAAATGGTATTATGTGAATACGGGTGAAACTGTGAGGATAGTAGTATCACTATCACCACATCTTGCATTCAAGTACATGTTACGTCTCCCACCATTAAACATAAACAGACATGTTAATGTAAATTCTCAGACTGTCTTCAGTCTCTCTGTACAGGTGTTTATACACTCAAGGTCGGGCTTCTTTTTGCTCTCAGATCAGTCTAATTTCTTTTTGGGATGGATTGCACAAGATGTTGGAAACATTCCTTTGAGAATTGGCTCCATGTTGACATGATAGCATCACATTTATGCAGATTTGTCAGGTGCACATTCATGCTGCCGATTTCCTGTTCTACCACATCCCTGAGATGTTCTATTGGATTCAGATCTGGTGACTGGGGAGGCCACTGAAGTTCACTGAACTCACTGTCATGTTCATGAAACCGGATTGACACGACTTTTACTTTATGACATGGTGCATTATCATGCAGGGAGTAGCCATTAGAAGATGGTAAATTGTGGCCATGAAGGGATGCACATGGTTTGCAACAATACTCAGGCTGTGGCATTCAAACCAGGATTGATTTGTATTACGGGGCCTAACGTGTGCCAGGAAAACATTCCCTACACCATTACACCACCACCAGCCTGGACTGTTGGCACAAGGCAGTTTGGGTCCATGGATTCATGTTGTTGATGCCAAATTATGACCCTACCATCTGCATGCCTCAGCAGAAATCCAGATTCATGAGACCAGGCTGTGTTTTTCTTGTCTTTAACTGTCCAGTTTTGGTGAGCCTGAGCCCACTACAGCCTCAGATTTCTGTTTTTGGCTGACAGGAGGGGAACCTGACGTGGTCGTCTGCTGTTCCGCCTCAAGGTTCAATGTGTTGTGCATTCTGAGATGCTTCTCTGCTCATCACAGTTATAAAGAGTAGTTCTCTGAGTTACTGTACCTCTCCTGTTATCTTGAGCCAGAACTAGTCCGATCTGACTTCTCATCAACCCGGTGTCTATCTGCAGAATTGTCACTCACTGGATGTTTTTTGTTTTTTCCACCAGTCTCAGTAAAAACTCCAGAGACTATTGTGTGTGAAAATCCCAGGAGATCAGCAGTTTCAGAAACACTCAAACCAGCCTGTCTGGCACGAACAGTCAAAGTCACCAAGCTCACATTTTTTTTTTTTTCACCAATATGATGTTTGATGTGAGCATTAACTGAAGCTACTGACCTGTGTCGACTTGATTTTAATGCATTGCACTGCTGCCAAATACTTCGGATAATTGCATGAATAAGCAGGTATTCAGGTGTTCCTAATAAAGTGCTAGATGAGTGTATTATGTCATATTTTCTCAAAAAATAACCCGGAGCACCTTTTATAAAATGAACTGTCATTCTTTTCTTCCTCCTCACAGTGGCGTGTTGGTACCAGGAGGATTTGGTGTGAGAGGGACAGAAGGAAAGATGCTGGCTATTAACTGGGCGAGGAAGCAGAATAAGCCGTTCCTGGGTAAGAGAGATTGGAAACTACTGTGTCTCATAAATTCTGCCTTCTCCATTATTTCACATTCAAATTTCATGCATTTCATAAGTGAAACAGATGAAGACTAGACATGAAACATGTTGTTCCGTCCTATCTGTCGACTGATGATGCAGCTTCATAGTTGTGTTGCTATGCCAGTGTTTGTAGATAACAGAATTAAATTAACAGCTAAAGTGCCTTTACTGTAAAAAGTATTTGTTGCTTTGAACTGTCATGTTTTGTCGTTGTACAAGACTGAGTCACAGTTGATGTTGTTAATGTGATGATGTTGTTTGACACAGCATAACAGAGACGTGAAAACAAACGTCTTGGATTAATATTAAGTACAAATGGAAAAAAAATAACAACATATAATTGATTGCACAAGTATTCAACCACTCTGACACCACACTTAAACCACTTGAAGCCCAAAGTATGTAGACGTCGGATATTAAGTTCACTGCCCATCACCTGTATGGCTGCAACATGCTGTAGGGATGTTTCAGTGCAAAATGCCCTGGAAGGTTTGTGAAGGGCAAAATTAAAATGTTGAAGGAACATCTGCCACAGTCTGCCTGAGAACTCGAACTTGCCAAAGCTGCTACACACAAATATACACGGTGTTAATGTATTTGATAGCCACAAAAGAATCGAGAAAGTTAGGACCAAACTTGAAATAATCTGAGCGATCAGTCAAGGACAAGGGAGAAAAAAATGTATTTAGGTGTATGAAGTTGTTACAGATCCACTCTATGCAAAGACTCCAAGCTCAAGTTTCTGCCAAAGGAGACTGAAAAATAGTGCTGAGGAGCACAGATAATTGTGCAATCAGTTGCTTTGTGTGTAGGTTTGTATGTAATTTAGATCTTTTTATTGAGATTTGTTCTCACTTTGACATTAAAGCATCTTTGCTTTATCTGTTTCTTTTAGGAAAAAAAAAAAAACTTAATTGCATCCACTTACAACTTTCAAAAGTTGTGAAATAATGAAATAAAGTCCAAAGAGACGTGAATACTTTTTATAGGCACAGTATAATAAAATGCAGAGACAGTAATGTTAGCCATGTAAGTGTCGTGCTCAGTGGGGATCTTGTTCAGTCTTTCTTTATTAATGAGTCCTTACAATAGCGCTCATTATGCAAGAATCCTGCTGGTCTTGTTTTGTGCAGGGGTCTGTTTGGGCATGCAGCTGGCAGTGTGCGAGTTTGCCCGCAATGTTCTTGGATGGCAAGGTGAGTAATTGCACAGTTCAGTTGGACACACTGCCATGAAACGTTTTAATTCCTGTGGTTTCTAATTTAATGATGAAAGATCCTTAGTCGTACTGCGAAGTTGATTTTGAGCTTAGATCAATTTCGCTTATCTTTTTCAGATGCAAACTCAACAGAATTTAATCCCGAATCCAAACACCCGGTGGTAGGTTTCCTTTTTTTCCTCCCCACAGTGCTCATATCACATCACATCACATCATGTCAGTGGAGTCTTCAGCTGAATGGTTTTAACATCCTGTTTGATCTTGGCAGGTGATTGACATGCCAGAGCACAACCCAGGGCAGATGGGCGGCACTATGAGGTTGGGGAAGAGGCGGACGATTTTCAAATCCAACAACAGTGTAATGAGTATGTATCCTCCTGAAATAAACCGACTACTGACTTTTTAGACTTTCCAGCTGTTGTGTTTCTGATGACTGATATTTCATTTTTGCAGGAAGACTGTACGGAGGCTTGGAGTATGTTGAGGAGAGGCACAGACACAGATTTGAGGTAGAGATGAACATAAGGTTTCAAAGCTTTATTTTCAAATAAAGCTTTTCAAAAGTATTATATCAATACAAATGCATACTATATAATTGTGGGGGCTTGAGGCTCCCTTTTAATCCTTCTGTTTTTTAGGTCCAGATCTAGTCTTGAATTATCATAAAATAATCTTGTTTTAGGTGAATCCTGAGCTGAAGCACCACTTTGAAACAAAGGGTCTTCAGTTTGTTGGTCAGGATGAGGAAGGAGAGAGAATGGAGATCATTGAATTGGAGGGTAAGTGGAAAGTGTTATAGAAAACAAGCATCCGCATGCTGCCAACAATAAATACATCATGCTTTCTCTTAAATATGCTTTCCCCTTTGTTATGATATATGAATATTTTACCCATGTGTTCAGTCACATGCCTATGAGGCCTAACGTAGAGGAGATCAAAATGTCTGCTTTTTTGTTTCAGGCCACAATTACTTTGTTGGAGTGCAGTACCATCCAGAGTTCACCTCAAGGCCCATCAAACCTTCTCCTCCATATTTTGGTCTCCTGCTGGCTGCTGTAGGAAAACTCCAGAGCTATCTGGCCAAGGGCTGTCGCCTTTCTCCACGGTAAGCTCAGACAGCACTTACTTGTACATCATCCAAAAGTTGGTTAGTGGAAATTAAAATGAAACTGGTAAACTGTGATGCACCAGCAGTTTATCCAGCTCTTATAAATTCTTAGAGATGAACTTGTTCCATTCTTGTTTTATTGGCATTTCATTTCATTGTTTTAAATCTATATATATTTTCTCTTGTGTTGTTTGTTGTTGGCTTGTTGCTTACTTCTGTAGCAATGGCTTTAAACTTGTAAGACACTGTGAACATCAAATCAGCTCAAATTTAGTTGCTTTGTGAACATTAGTTGTAATTTACAGGGATATTTTAAGTAGGTGTCATAATGTACAATGTGTTATTATGCTGTGTAGTTGTGTCAAAAGTCCCGTGGGTGTTACATCTCCCGGTGACAATTAAGCATCACCATTGCATCTGCACCATATGAAAGCAATCCCTATCAGGTGTTTACTGCTATAATACTCATTTTATGTTTTTGCCTTTCATTGCAGGGACACTTACAGCGACCGCAGCGGCGGCAGCTCTCCTGAAGCTGATATCTCGGAGCTGAGGTTCCCCTCTTTGTAGTTGTACAGATGTGTTCGTGTCACTTGTGCAGTTAAATGCAAAGCCCAGAAAAAAACAACCCTGTCTGCCCTTAATTGACGGTGCAAGACCGAAATTCATGTTAAACTGTTTTTACACTCTGATTGGTACATGTTATTACTCATTTTTACTCTAAATACATAATGCCTTCAGCAAGACTGTCTTGCTGCTGTCTGTTCATGCTTTAGAGTTGCTGCAATAAGCAAAAACCAGAATAAAATGTTTACGGGGGACTTGTAAGAAAGGATGTGGACATTGTGGAAAACCTGTAGAGAATATGGGCAGTAGTGGGGGGTGTATTTGAGAAATCAATGGGAAAACTTCACCCTCATCAGTACGTTTGGGTGTGAATATTAAGAATTGGACAATGTATTTTCCAATTGGATATAGAAAGCGTAGTGACAAAGGGCTAAGATGGGAGTCGGGAACTGTGCAATTAGGTTTTTGTTGGAGCAGCCATCTTGCATATCAATCCACTTCAATATATGAAAATACTGATAAGAAACAATCGTGTTTGACTTTTACTTTACCTGTGTTGTGACAAGTGACATATGATTGATACGGTTGCCAATTAGAAATGTTTGTTACTGTCTGTCTTACCATCTTATTTCATGTATTAATGTATTTTTACTTTCCAACTGAGAGATCATAGCACTCACTCAGGGTAACTACACAAAAATGTGTAAACTACACATCTGGTTTCTAAGAATTCACAAAGTTGGGCTTTTTTTTTTTTTGGCTGTGGGATATATGGGAATTTTCCTGTTGTAATGAGGTGAATTGTTTTAAGTGTTATTTAATATCACAAGGACACTGGGTTTTAACTTCTGCATGTAACACAAAAGTTTGTCTTAAGTTTTTAATCCTTAAACCTGAACTCACCGGCTCAGGTTGCATGACTTTTTTTTGTTTGTGACCTTTTTAAATGCTGACATCAACACAAACGGTTTTGAACTCCATTGCCTTTTACTATCATATCTGATCCGCAGCTTCTTAAAATGATGCAGTCATCTGACAATGCAGCCAACTTAGAGTGACCCTCGAGTCAACAGTATTAAATGGAAAAGCAAGCTTGGCATTCAAAGCTCACATCATGAAACTGATAACTAAGACCTAAGTTTGATCTCAAAGCATCAGTAGCAGCCAACTGTAGATGGAAAGCATCAAGCTACATTACAGTTACATTTTTGCATGGAGCATTGCAAAATTGACCCGGATAGTTAAATTATTCCTGCCAGTGCATTTGTTGATCTGTTACTGACCCAAATGTATGAAAAACATATTTTTATATTTATGAAGTTCAGATGCATGTGATTCAATATGTGCATTTATTCTGAATAAATAAAATTTTATTTCTCATGACACCTGGGCCTTTATTGTAGCTGAGCTGTGAATCATGGTAAGTTCTGCTTTGCTGACAGCAAAACTAAAAAGTTGCGCCCACACCCTCCATTAAAAACCTTTTGTGTTCACTGATGCGCAATGTTTATATGTGACGTTTGTATTCAGACCACAGATCGTGCCTGTAATAACTGTTATCATCTGTGTTTGATGTTGAAGTAGCCAAGATGTCATCACTAAATATAACTACGTAGACATGTAGTTATCACTAAAATAGATATTGTAAATATAACATACTGTTAGCAAACCTATTGTGGAAAAATGACTTGCATATCCTGAGCCTTTCCCTGTGTATCCCACGGGATGTAAAGCTGTATTGTTATCAACTTCCCTTTTTAGGTGGCACTGCTCACTCTTCAGTCAAGACCATAAAGTGATAAATATCTGTTGCAAACTGTACGGGCAAACAGTAGTCCACACTCATTTTCTGTGATTGTTAATGATGACATGTAATAATAAATTGGTGACAGTAGGAAAGTGAAAACCTTCCATTGATATAATAGAAAATACAGGTACTACTTCCTTATAATCCTTCACCCGCTCTTTCCCACATCTGGCCCTCCCTTTCCATAACGGCCCTCCCTGTGTCCTTGTGCTCTTGCCCCTCCTTTTGTCAAGTATCAACAGGCAAACTTTAGAAGTCCACGCCCCTGCACACTCATGCACATGCTTACAGTAGCAGCAGCTCGGACGAGAACTGCAGCAATACCGGGATCTACTTTGCGGGACAGATTTTTTTTTTTTTTTCTACTTTTGTATTGGATTTGAGGAGCCACCATAGGAATGAGACTGAGAGTTGTGCTGCAGTGATAATATACACAGGAGTGTGGGATGACTGTGAACACGCTGCTCTACTGATTGTGAGATTAATAAGGAGTGGCTGCTGTGGTTGTTACTCAACATTTGGAGCGTCAACACACAGGGTACAAACTGCTGGGAAGCTGCTGTGGGATTGCTAGGTTTCATCCTTCTCCATGGTGCCATCTAGGGTGTTCACTATTCTCCTCTTGAACAACTCCTAACTTTACTTTCAACCTCACTGAAAATTACTGCACTGTCTCTCAAGACTTATTCTCTACACCACTGTATCCTCACAAGCTGTCTTTGTCACTCTTTTCCCACCACCAGCAACAATGGACCTGACGTTGTGGCAGTACCAGTTCAGGATCATCATGCTGGGGGATTCCACGGTGGGCAAGTCCTCCCTGCTGAAGCGCTACACTGAAGACTTGTTCCTGGAGTCCATCAACCAGACGGTGGGTGTAGACTTCTATGTTCACTTCCTGGAGGTGGAGCAGGGGGTCCGTGTTAAGCTGCAGTTCTGGGACACAGCTGGACAGGAGAGGTTCAGGTGAGGATAAACTCATCTTGTGACAGATGGGACATCGTGTCTTCTACATCTGTGCTTCTACCAGTGTTTGGATTCTTTACATTAATGGATGTCTTAATATATCACAACTGCACAAGACATCTTTATGTATCAGGCTTGGTAGTACAGTGCTTTGAATACAACAGTAAAATCGATAATGAAAACAATGCCATTCTTATGACGAATATTCAAGATACGTCTGGTATGCATGCAAATATGCTATTCAAATAAACTACCACTGCTTATCCCATTCACACCCGATCAGTTCATCAGTGTTTGCTTTCAGCAAAACACTGTATCCACCCTGTCACTCTCTCAAGATCAGTGTGCACTGTTATGCAGTATGTGTAATGCTTAAAGTGGAAAAGGCAGATCTTTGAAAAGGCATTATTCTCCATGCTCAGCATATTTAATGAAAGAACTAGGGGTAACTTGTTTCATTCTGTCTCTAAATTCATTATTTCAGTTCTCCAGTTGAATGAACCGTAGCAAATTGCAAACTGTGCCTGTTTATGTTTACCCCCTCTCTGCATGGTATCAGTTGCCTGCTAATCCCACATGAGTCAGCTAAAAGCTCAGGCAAATCTGGTTTGTTTTCATAAAGAAGTATTCTACTGTAGAAGTAAGTTTTCACCAGCTGGCAGATGGGAGGATCCTTTCCTATAAGCCCTTCCTGTGGTTTCATCATTCAGTGACTCACGGGAGTACTACATGCTGTTGACTGATGACAGTTTCATGATTAGGATGAAAAACACAGTGGTTATCGATTTCTTACTATGAGACAGAATGTTTGTCAATTTGCTTATCTAAAAGAGCTCAACCCAAACAGTGCAGAGAATCAGGTGATTATTTGCTCTCAGGAACAGAAAATAAGTTGGTAGCAAAGTCTGACCTCTGCACTGCCCAGTATGTGTTTTGGGTTTTTTCGTGAGTTGAAATGCAAATGTCTTCACTCTCTTCCATTTGTTTTTTTTTCTTTGTCTCTGTTTTTTCTCCCCTCAGGTCAGTGACCCGTTCTTATTACCGCAACTCGGTCGGAGGCCTGCTGGTGTTTGACATGACCAACCGAGCCTCCTTTGACCATATTAAGGAGTGGCATGCTGAGGTGTGTGAGCGAGTGCAACCACATAAGGTTCTGTTTGTCCTGGTGGGCCAAAAGAGTGACCGAGATGATTCCGGAGAGCGGGTGGTGAGTCGAGAAGAGGCTGAGAAACTGGCCGGACAGCTAGGGATGCCGTACGTGGAGGCCTCTGCCAAGACAGGCCAGAATGTGAGGGGGTGCTTTGAACTTCTCACAAGACGGGTCTATCAGGGTCTTTTGAGTGGTGAGGTAGAGCTGCAAGAGGGCTGGGACGGAGTTAAGTGCGCTGCCCCACAGTCGCTGCAGTTACAGAGAGCCAGCCTGGCTCAGCCCAGCACAGCCCCCAAGAACAAGAAGAACTGCTGTGGTTAAACTGTAGACTGCCGATGGTCACCTATTCTTGGAATGGTGGTGATATTTTAATGTAATGTGTGACCATCAGGAAACGCACTGAGTTGAAATGCATTTTTTTGCACCTTTATTGTGAAGATAAAATTTTTAAAACTTAGCAGGAGACTGATTTGAAAAATTTTGTGACCTAATATGTAGAATATGTTGACATTCCTAAATGGGTAAAGATTTAGCTTACTTAAGAAATAAAGGTTTTGAGTAATTGTTATTTATTATACATGCTACAGTGGCGCAGGTCAGGTGGTCTACCACTTTGGACAGAAATACCTCTAAAAAATAGAAACTACTAGATGGATTGCCATGAAATTTTGCACAGACATTCATGGTCCCTTGAGTATTATTTTGATCTGACTAGTGATCCTCTGACTTGTTCTCAACACCACCTTTAGTTTGACATTTGTGATTTTCGAGGGAAATCCTACTATTGGATGGATTCCTTTTAAAATTTGCAAATGTTCAAGGTCCCATGTCTGATGGTTAACTAAAGATAGCTGCAAAACTCACCATTCCCCTCATATGGGCTTGGTGTTATCGCTAATTATCAATGTTAGCATTGCTAACAAGATAAATTAAGATGGTGAACCTGGTAAATATTACCTGCTAAACACCAGCATGTTAGCATTGTCCCTGTGAGCATGTTAGCTTTGTGACAGTAGCATTTAGCTCCAATGGGCTGTAGAATTTTGGTTAAATGCAATATTCATAGGTTTTTGTTTAAGACTTTGAAAAGGTCAGGATAAAAGTTTGTGCTCTCGTCTGTGAGTCACTAGGCTCACAGCTTATCAGACTATTGTTACATGGATTTACGAGGTCATTCCACCTTAGTTCAGTAAAAAGAGTGGTTGTATAACATCTAGAAACTGGAGCTTTTCCCTTTTTCAGTTTAATAGGTGCTAAAGATGAGACTTGGTCACCACTGAATTCAGTCTACATCATCCCTACCACTGATTTTCGTACCTCAAGACCCGTGCACTGGAAAAGTGGTTCCAACCTGGAGGTCTGGCCCACTCAAGATATGTGAGGGGATCACATTTGATATTTTTATCGCTTTTAATTAATATTTGGTTCCCAGGTCATGACCACACTTAAGTCATAACTTGTAACGACTTGTAAATACATCTGGTTTATTTTTGAGAGGTCACAACCCAAAAGGTTCAGAGACACTGCACTACAAGGACATTCTGCTCTTTCCTCAGAACCCATGGACATAAATCTATGATTCTTGTATGTGTTGCTGTTGTCCTATGAATAACTGGCAGCAGTTAAAGTATTAGGTCCCCTGGTTGAGATTATAAACATCACCATAGGCCTTTATGTGGACTAATCTCTTGGGCCTGAGTAGATGTCAGGAAAAAGCTTTGTTGAATCACCAATAATTGCACAGCATCCTGCGAGTAAGTGATTGTTTTTAGGTTCTGTCGTTGAAATTAATTAAATGAAAACTCTAGGGTGCCTTTGGATATTGTTCTTTTGAAATGTGAGAGGTTTCCATAGCAATTACTGTTCATCCGGCTGATGAACAACCTCCTGTGTTTCTGCAACAAAAATGCAGACAATTTATTTTACTAAAATGCAGATTCCCTGATAGGTTCTCACACTGTTGTCTGTATACTGGTTTGTGTCCTTGGTTCACTGTAAACATATAGCGAGTAAAATCATTTTTATCTCAATATTTTAAACACTTTTGCTTCAATGTGATCCTTCAAAGCTTTGATGTAATTCATGTACTGTACATTAGTGTGGTACTTCAAAAACTACTGGGAACTTCAATCATAAATGTGGAGAATTACTATTAAATGAAAAGCAATATGTTAACTTGCTTTAGGTTAGTTATTTTAAAGCCTTACCTACTAACTTAAACATACCCCTTACCTATGTATATAGCTCATTTGGCTAACTCCAATCTGGCAACAGAAGCCATTCTGCAAAACTTTTTTTTTGATAATATCAGTCGTTTATTATTTTTAATCTGACATTATGAAAAGCCAACATCTGGGGATCATTTCTTCAATCATTATTTTGATGCAATTTGCTGAATTAGACAAAAGTAAAAAATAAAATGTATAACAATGGTTGGAATAAATGTGTTAATGTAATAAAACCTACAACATTCAGTAACAATACAGCACATATATATCAACAAGAAAGAAAAAGAGTTTACGGTATATGTTGCCACTATTTGCAGTATAAGAATTTGGTATTATAAATCTATTTATTAAAAAAAACTATTATCAACAGCATTGTATAAGTAGAGTGGGTAAACAGGGGAGCCATAATCTTTTACATACTCAACATTTATGATTATCTATTATTGGCAAAATAACACCAAAGATCATTTTGAGAAGGCAGATGACATTCACATCCAAAATGCTCTAAAGTATCAAAAAGGCACACTGGATACAGCACTGGTCACAATCCAAAATGAGTATTCCAGTAAATGTTTATTGACAAAAATGCAATGAATAGAGTTCTGCCAGGCTTAGCTTAATGCAAACAAAACAGAATCAGAGACAACAATTATATTGTGTGATGGTGCTGGCAGAACACTCAAAAGTTAGGGAGACATGACGATGAAACACTAATGTCAAAAGAAAAAAAAATCCCCCCCCCCACCCAAACCCTCTCTTTCTTAATCTGTCTCAAAAGATCCCAATTGAAAAGGAAAAAACAAAACCATCCAAAAAGAAAAGAAATTACACAAAGTGGGTACAACATATTAGTGTACGGTCTTGCTATTTTTTGGTTGTCTTGCGGATCAGCGCCATTCTCTGAAATGAAAAAATTGCAAAATGTTAGATTCAGCCATAATGTTCTTTCCAATACTAAACAAATTGATATTACTGAAACATCCCAATTATATATCAGCTATAACTTTTCTCTAATTGTGCACACTCTACATGTACTGTACCATTAACAAGAATATTCCCATATGTCCAACAGAAACAAAGCCTTCTTATTGCTCACCTGTTTGTGAGCCTCTGTGGTGCATGCCTTCTTGAACGGCCGGATCTCATCTGATCCATAACCAGGAATCCACATGTTCCACTGACGTTCTGAGAAAAGCAATGCAAAAATGTCAGCAAGACACAGGTTGTATGAACTAATCAGGCCTTCAAACAAATAAACACTATAGCAAATTTTCATGTTATATTTCTATCGGGGCTATAAATACTGTCAGGCTAACTCAGTCTATCAGCAAAGTGTCATTCTCTTCAGGATCTAAATTCCATTTCATTTCCAAAAATTGTTAAATGTGTCGTCAGGGTTATAAACAAAACAATAACAACTTCTGAAACTGTCTTGTAACCATTAAGTGTGACGTTCTGTGTGTGCTCTACACTGAACACAGAAAAGCAGCAGAGATGTTTATGTAACCGCCAGTGATTTGGTTGCCATGTTACTCAGCTTCAGTTTAATCTGCCAACTGTCTGAATGTTTTGTAAAATTCAAACGGAACAAATCTGCTCCCTTCAACTACCAGTTTTTTTAATGCATAGAAAGTTTGACAAATAACATCTTGCATTCAAAGTAACTGTCATATTTGAACATAAATTTTTATTATGCATAAAATTAATGAAATAACATGAATAAGAAATGAATGATTCACATATCAAAATGGCATGATACATTCTGATACAAGTCCTGATACCATCATTTTTCACACTTCAATTTTTCTTTTGCGTCAAGTAAAGAGACAATAAATCCACCTGTGAAAACATCAAATGGTACAATCTTGCAAAAAAGCCACAGCAACTTACCAAGATGTAATTGAACATCCTTCACCTCTAAGGTGTTGGACTTGCGATGGCGTGCCAGTTGACAGGCTGCTGTCACTACACTCTCTATAAAGTCATCTGCAATTTGTAGCAGCATCTGAGAAAAGAGGCATTTTGAAAATCATCAATCATGTTCAGTAAAGGAAAGCTACATGCCACAACAGCTGGAAAGTCCCTTGTGTTTTCAGCTGCTCACACCATTTATCATGCAGCTAGGGTTTCAGCAGAATAAAGTTTCCAAGTGATGGATGTGGCAGTAGGTTAGAGAAGCTTTAGGGAAACAAGTACAGGCAAAATGTAAATGGTATTAATTTCACAGGAAAACACTTATTAAAAAAAAGTACAGTGTAAGTTTCAAACTGCAGTTGAAAACACAGACAAACCTCCTCAACATCCTCATCCAGCTGCTCATTTGGGTCAATCTCTCTCACCAGGTCCTGCAGCTTCTTTTTACTGAGCACCTGGAACAGGAAGCAGAAGTATGCATTCACTCAGTATCAAAAGAGTTCAAGGGTGCAGATATGCGCTCTACAGTAGTGTAGTGGTGGACTGAATTGCAAAAATTTTAATTTAAAGGCCCAGGAAATCGGTTATGTGGCTAAACATGACTGATATTTAGATAAGATATTACATATAAAAATGAAATCTTCATGCTAAATATAATACCATTTCATACAGACCAAACTCAACATATAATCTGTCACTCTGATCATTTGAGGAGGGAAAACAAGATCTGAATTGGGCAAATTTTACCATGAGACTGTCCCACTCTTTGGGGAGCTCTTATGTTAAGGAGAATAAAGGCTGTGGGGACAGCTAGTAGAATGTCTCATGCAAAACTGCACAGCTTTGGCTATGATCAAAAGGATTGAATAAATCAACATTCTCATTACAGTTCATATAACTGTACTAGGGCAGTTATTCCATTTTACAAAAAAAAAAAAAAAAAAAAAAATTGTAGCTCATATTTGCAGGGGAACTGTTACTGCTTCTAGTTTACAATATTGGATCCATGTAAGTGTGCAGTTTGCAAGTCAGTGGGACTCTATATAGGTTCTGGCACAACAACCCAGCCTAGCAGCAACGTCTTTGGATTTGGTGAAAAAATGTGAACTAACCTGAGATCCTTCTGGACTGCTTCTGCCAGCAGGACCAGGGCCCCCCAAAGCCTTAACAGCTGTGGTGGTGCTGTTAGCCATGCTGGTGGCCGCAGGAAATGTGGAGGGACTCTGAAGTTTCACAGGAGGCTAAACTGTTGCGTCTCCTCTGTGTCAGAGTCCTGAGTGAGAGTCCAATGTGGGCACAGGTGTGATGGGTTATCTTCTGACAGGGACCACGTCAGTAAATCTAGGGTAAAGTGAGAAATTATACTAATTAAGTAATTTGGATAAATAGGCTGATCAACACTTTAAACATATCAGAATCTTAGTGAAAAAGCTTTCTATCAATGTTTTAAGTTTCTAGTTTTTAACTAGCTCTCGACCTTACCCTGTAAAGTGCCTTGAGATCATGTATATTATGATTTGGCGCTATACAAATAAAATTGGAATTGATTTGAAAATAGTTTTTTACTATGTTTATTCTACATTAGTTTCTTATCTAATAAAACAGTAAAATCACGGTTTTATTTATTTGCAATGCTGACATTTCAATCTTTTCCATGTTAAGCACTTAGTACCTTAGTTTCGAACGTTTCTATATAGATACTTTATGATTACTTGAACTATTTTTATGATGTCAAAAAATGTTTGCTAAATGTATTAGCTACAGGACACATGCAGGGATTTAGCCGTCAAACAACGCTAATGGACCTACTCAAAACATTAAAGTAGCAAGCAAAACAACACCACATTTATAAAATACAAACACCACACGGGTAACTATTCAGTGGCTGTGGCGCTTCAACAAATAAAACAAACTAAAATACTGACGCTAACATAACGTTATGTGCTAAAAACAATAGCCGCTATCAGGCTTTGACGTTAGCCGGGGAGGCTAATCTAGCAGCTAATCTAGCAACGCGGCTTTATACACGCTACATCTTGAATTTACGCGTTAAACTGACATCTTACCCAATTAAACAAACACTATCTGTCCATGTTTCGACGCCGTTGTCGGTAATGTCTGAGGATGATACAGAAACAGCGTTTCGGATAGCCTCCGCACGGCTAGCAAAATGATCGAGGATATTTTTCACTACTTCCGCTTTGTTTATGCCTACTTCCTGTGGCAACACGTCGCCTCTACTGTGTCACCTGCTGGTTATTTTGTAGAACTACACTAGGATTTAACAAATGCATGAGCCCCAAAACCAGCATTATATGTAAAAGGCTTGTACATTTGCCAGTTTTTAGGTTGATTTGTTGAATATAGTTTATGAACTTCCACACTTTCCGCAGTGTGAACTTTGGTACTTAAATGCATCAGTTGTTATTGGATGGAGCAATCTATGTCTGAGAGTTCAGAGAATTTTTGGCATTTTTGCAAAAAGAAACTGACTTAAATGATCAATAAGTTACCAAACCCGTTGCTAATTCATTTTCTTTAAATCAACAAATTAACTAGTCTTTTTAATCTCTGTGCCTTGGGGAATAATGAAACTACCATGTATAGTAGCCTATATAACAACATTTTCTCTTCCCTTTCAAGGTTAATTGGGCCATGACAAACATGCCATGAAAAGCTACATGGATATAATAGGAAAACTTTTTTTTTCTTTTTTTCCTCAATTGCATAATGAGAAAATAACACCAACATACCATAAATAATCAGGCTTTAAAAATAACCACGAGACCCTAATTATGTGACACATTCACATGTATTTGTTCAATTTTCAAATTTAAATTTAATTTTTTTTATGTTAAAAAAACGTACGTAGGTACGTGGCAGATGCAGCAAGACACAGTTTAATTTCTGACTTCAAGTGGAAAAATTAACATCTCAGAGTGTTATATGTCACTCAATCTATAGATGTCAAGTATAAGCGTGTGTACAACGAACTGTCTCTGAGGGCTTGACAGACTCGCTTTCAATTCTTTCTCCAGTTCAGCTCCGGTTAACAGCTAATGAATCAAAGGTCACAGTAAATGAAGCGTAAAACGTTTGCTTGTTCGGCATTACATATCACGCCAGGAAATTGCAAAGCTCTGTGGCAACAAGTCAAGACTCATTTCAAATTCCGTTGAACGTCTTCAGAAAAAACACCTGCCTCAACAACAACACGCTCCGACTGAACACGTGATAGGTCCGACTTCCCTCAGAGACCAATGACGCACCGGGGAGTGGATTTGATTATTGGAGCAGCAGCAGCACCTCTATCATTTACTGTTCACACAAACAATATTTCAGGCGTGAATTCTCATCAGCAAAGAAAGACCGCAGATATATAATAAGGCTTATTGAGCAATTTATTTTCGGCTGTAGAGTGATCTGCATGAATAATTTATTTGTGCTTTCATAATTTCAGACTATTTTGAATTCACTTCCTGAAAAACAAAGAAATGAAAGCCACACCTACACCCCGTAATAGATATATAGTGAGCAAACTTTCATTTCAGATTAGAAGCTGCGTAGGACATCTTTTTTGCTGATAGCCTATACTGAAAAGGTTTTTCACAGCCATGAAAATACTTCTCCTTGCTGCACTGGTTGCCTTGATTCATGGCAGTTATGGTAAATATGTCTTTTGTGTTGATTTTTTTTTCCTCATGGACTGTTTTACAATCTTCTAAGATAGTAATTTTATCGCTGTAGTTTTAGTCCTCAAGTCTGGTTCTGGTATTTTGTCACGATATATTCGTACAGTTGCTGCTCCTGGGTTTTGTTTTCTTATGTGTGTGTGTGTGTGTGTGTGTGTGTGTGTGTGTGTGTGTGTGTGTGTGTTTGCTCGCCTGTCTGTCTCTGAGTTCGTGTGTCCTCTAGAGGAAACTCTTCAGTAACAGTTGTTTCCCCTTGTGGCTTCAGCACTCAGACTAAAACAGGAAATGTTGGTGAAATTGCAGAGAGACTGTCAAGAAGAACAATTAAATATATTTTATGTAGGCTACTGTTTGCTGAGCATATGAGCGACCTCATATTCAGTTCTTGACTGTGAAATAATATTGTAATCTGTTTGTGATGTGCACTAAATAATGCATGTAGTGAAAGAGAAATTTCCTGTTATGTCAGTAAAGTGGACGAACCTGCTGCTGGTCATGTTGCCCTGGTGACTTTGAGAGTATTGGCAATTTTCCAGCCGGTGACTGAAACAAATGTCAGGAAAAGGGAGAGGTTGTTTTGAAAGTGTTGCCCGGAACAGCAGCTAGGTCCCCATTGCAGGTCAACACGCCTTCCCTCCTGAGCCCTCCATCTCTTCATGTTGTGATCAATAACCCGCATCTGTAATCTCTGTCCACATGCAGCCACTTTGCTCATTAAAGGGCCAACCAACCCAGTTCTGGAGGGAGAGACGATCACACTGGAGTGTCTGTTCTCAGACTCTGAAGTCAACATCAGCCAAGTCCGCTTTGAGATCTTCTCCAAGGTGAGCCGTGGGTGGGTGTGAGGGAAGACACAGGAAATTAGTGATGGATTTCATATGTTCAGCACTCTCCTCTCACCATTATTTGGCCTTGCTTACAACACTGCAGTGGTGGTAAGCAATGCTAAAGTGCTAGAGTATTTTATTGTTGTACTTTGAGGTAGTGTAAAATTTTTATTGTCAATGATCTAATAACTCTTGCAGTTGTGGAAAAGCAGGTTAATCAAAGTTTAAAACTTTATTCTTTTTGTCTCTTCACCAGTACATGCAGAGCTGGCGTCCAGTTTTTGAGCGATCATGGTGCTACTATTCGATGGAAATTGTGCGGACAGCTGACAGTCTAGTGCTGTCCATCCCCCATGCAGGAAGGTACTCTGAGGGGCCCTACCGCTGTGTGTCGGACGCCGAAAATGTGACCGCACCAGACAACTCCTCCCAGCCTCTGGCCTTCAAAGTGAATTGTGAGTTGATATGACTAGGAGCTGTGTGGGGGCTGTCTGCTGAAAGTCTATGAAACAATGAGTCTGTGACACTGTATTTCCCTTTTGCCAAACAGAGAAACTCTCCATTTTTTATATTGTCTGTGTCCTGCAGAGGTCAAAGAGATTTCTACAGGAATATGACAATAAACTAGATAAATAAGTGACTTACAAATAAAATATCCAGTTTCTGAGTTTCACTTCCCAATAAGGAAATGCGTGGCATATCTGAGAATACTGAAATTACTAACAAAGAGGGAAAAATAAAAAACACCTGAATGTACACTGGTCTAGGTGAGAAAACTGAACAGAGAAACTTGCAATTTTCCTCATATTTCCAACCAGCAGGAGGTAAAGACAATCTTTCAGACGCTGTGGACACAGCTTTCCTCACAGTGCGGGATAGAAAAACACATTAATAGTTAATGACACAAGACATATCTATGAAATGCAGCTGCCCAACAAAACAACTGCAGAAAAGTACAGATCCAATGCAAACAATGGTTACCTATGATAGGTTGATTTCAGTAATTTCAGATTTTTTTTTCTTCGCCCAGAGCAAGCACAGGTGTATTACCCTGGTGGGGCTCGAGTTTGAAACCATCAATATAGGATACACAACTGCATGGAACAGCATCCATGGCATAGCTAGTCAGATTATCAGTGTCCTCTATCTCCTCAGTAGCCATCAAATTGACCGTAATGCTGTTTGATAGGCTCCTCAGTCTCATGGGATGAATCAATAAGTGGGAAAGATTAGAATGGTCTGAAGGACTGAAGGAGATAGTGGAGAAGAGAAGCCAGGAGAGAGATGGACCTGGGCCATCTATTGAGATGGAAGAGAAAATGAGCCATTATTCACAACACTGCCTCTCTAAAGACTTCGATAAGATGAAGCCTATTATCATTATTATTGATTGCTTGGAACAGTCTGTGCCACTGGGGGGTATTCATCCTTGAGCCTATACACTCAAATATACTTAAGAGATCTGAGTGTTTACCAGCTGCTACCACTGCATATACATATTCAGTCACATCCCAAACTCTTGACGAAATACCTTCAGCGTACATTAGAGTTCTTGCTTAATTAATGCCCGATCATGCCTCCCCGTTCTCACTGTGATTTAGACATGGGAGAGCTGCTACTGTCCAGGGAGGGCTACACCAGCTACCTGGGTGTCCCACAGGAGCTGAAGGTGCAGCCCGGGGATGACGTGGTGCTGAAGTGCTCTGCAAGCTCATCAGAAGAGCCAAGCTACTTCTGGCACAAAGAGGTGAGGGAGCCTCGGGAACGTGCACAGTAACAGTGTCCTCATTATGCTTTTGGAAACTTGTCTTTCTCTCTCCTGCACTCACTCCCTCCACTTCCGATGTGACCTCTTTATTTTTTTTCCTGTCTTCTTCCAGTCTCTCCAGGTCTCTCTTGGCTTTGTTCAAGCATTCTCTTAACTTTCTCACCTCCTCTAACACATCCCCTTTTCTCTCCCTGACTTTCTCAAGCCACTTGTTTCCCCTTGCCTGTCGTCTCTCCATCCCCTCCACAGAAGAAGCTCTCTGTATTTAAGTGACCAGTTGGCTTAGGCCCACCTCTCACTGGGGATTGCAGCTTGCCCACTTACAGAGGATTAATAGTTTAATGAGGTCTAGACAAGAGCCAGTCAACCTGAAAACAATTATGTGGAGAGATTTCTAATGATTTTTTTAGTGTTTGGTTAACCGGCATTGAATTATTCAACTGGGCTCTTTGCTGAGCTAAGAAACCCTGGCCCCAGGGAAATTAAGACGTCTCAGTGTAAAATGCCATTGTGACAACAGGCATGTAGAACAAGAAAAAAGTTGATGAGCCGGGAGATGCATTGTGCCCTCGTGGTGAGAGAATGGTATTACATTTTCAACATTACCACTACCGCCACTAGATGGTAACAGGTGTAATGACGCTGTGCAACTATGAAGATATCTTGGGAACAGGCCGACGTAATTGCCAAGTTTCCCCTTTTGTCATTCTTCTTGATAAGTCGGCCCGGGGTTAATGTGCTTGTTAAAGGGTCACTGCTAATCCGGGTTTTAAATGGGCTTACGAGTCCAAATCCAATTCACTGGACATTTTATACTGCTAATACTGTTTGTCCCCCACATGATCATATGCAGTGCTTTGTCATCATTTGTTGAATATACAGCAGTGTCATTTTGACAAAGACTAACAGTCATTGTCAGCATGAGTGACAGGTCTGTCGCCTGATGGAGTTGGAATCATTTAGTTCACCGGCACTCATGATTCACCTGTCGATCTGCTCGTGCTGCATTTACATAAGTCGCAAGACCTTTGAAAAAGAGGAATGACACATTCAAGGAAGTGATAAGATGAGGTGGAATGTTTGATGGGAGTGTGTTTGTGTGTGTTTGCTTTTGCCTTTGTGTGTGTGTGTGTAAGCCCACTGTATGTTTGACAGGAATGGATATGGGGCAGAAAGTGGCATCAGAATGGCCCACTTTGACAGACAGTCGCCGTGGGCACATTGGCCCCCAGTAATGACAGCAGGACAGAGGCAGAAACGGGCCACTGCTTTGGGAGCCAGTGGATTTGCATACAAAATGCTGCTTTGGCCAGACCTGGCCTTTATGGGAAATCCTCTTAATTCAGATCCTTTCAAATTGAAATGGACTTTCTTGGCAGGAGCTGCAGCTCCCAGGAGCCAAATCATTTGCATGGTGTAATGTCTTTTTTTTACATTTTTTTTTTCCCCCTCCTCCAGGTTCGTTTGTTTTCCAGTCCTTGTGTATGGCCTATTATTTGTTTCCTCTCGTGTTGGGCTCTATCTCATAATAGTGCTGCTATTTTTGTGTCAACAATTCATCCCGCTCCCTTGCCATCTCATTATGTGTTGTGTTAACAGTGTGTTGTTGCAGCATCATTCTTTGCGGATGATGGTGTTATCTGGGTTATTGACTTGTGTCGATGTGTATTCATTCATCGGGATTATTGCTCAGGTAAATACACTTGATTTGGGATTTTGGAGACTGCTCTCTGAGGGCCACACAGCAGCAGATATTTCTGGCTTTCTGTTTTTGTCCCACTACCATTGCCATTCTCTCTGTTTCTCTGTATCTCCCTTTGTCCCCCTTTCCACAAATCCAAACATAACAGTTTCTGCCTCCTTTATATCTCCTTCTCTCCTCTCCTTCTACACTCGTCTCGTCAACTAGCATTGTTTCTTCTCAGCTTAGCACAATTTTTAATTTGTACTGATTTGTCTCAAAGGGCTGCAAACAATTATTTCTATTTTCTGCCCTTATTTCTTTTTTTCTCTCTTATGTGTCTGTCTTTCCCTCTCAGGGTAGCGACTGGATCCTGCCTTCCTCTAAGCTGACGCTGAAGAAGGTGAGTGCGACGGATGGAGGACTGTACACCTGCATGGCTGAGCATCCTTCCGTGGAGTCACTCAGCAAGAAACGCACAGTCAGCATCACCATACTGCCCGGTAAGAAAAGACTTGAGATCTGTTGCCCTTTGTACTTACTAAGTCTAGAGCAGTTGTTTATCAATTCCCCTTTCAAAGAACCAGTTTGGGAATTTCTTTGTAACTGTTGGGGAATTCAGCTGTCAACGTTCCCTTAGCAACAAAAAAAAAAGGTGTGCTCTTTTTCCTCTTAATCAGCAACGCAAATGTTACCAGAAAGGTCAGGTGTTTGGGTGCAATTACGTCATCAGAAGCATAAGTGGAAGCTGCCATTGGTGTGAAACCTTTAATGTTGTAATTAGGGGTGGGCGATATGGCAAAAATATCATATCACAATTTTTTAAAAATAAAATCACGATTTCGATTTTATCACGATCTTAAATTGGAAAAAGAAAAACAGACAATTTAGACCAAAGAACCTTTCTTAACAGATTTTATTTCAAATAGTCGCAGTTTTGCCTGCATGTGCAAACAACGTAAAGTTTAAGGTAAACAACAACAACATTCTGGTTCGTCGTGTTACCACCCGACGTGCGAACGGTTTCTGTGCAAACTTTGCAAATTACATTTGCTTGCGCTTGATCAGTTGCGGAAAATCCAAACCAATTCCATATAATGGAGGTGGAGTTTTTTTTTAGCGACCAACTCCGTTTGGCTTTCAGCCATCGCTCTCCATGTGCTACCGCTACACACACAAACAAGGAGGCGGGTAGGAAAGTGCGTCACTGCCCGTAATCCGCTATGATTGGTCGGTCAGGTTGACGACGTCAATACGTCTGGTGCGTCGGTGCATCAGCATAGAACTGCAATTTATAGAATGTGCCCTAGACGATCCCACGATCTCTGCAGTTTGAAAGATTGTCTTCACGTTGTAATCCTTCACGATCTAATATCGTCATATCGCCCACCCCTAGTTGTAATTTTTTTAAGGAAGTAATACAGGGTTAAGGTTGAATTCGTCTGGCATGGAATTTATGAAGAAACTAGAAGAAGACAGCGATGGTTCAACAAAGGGAAGTAAAGACATTTATGAAAACACCTCATATTAAAAAGGCGACAAACACATCCTGAATGAAATTACCTCTGAAATGTCAAATGAAAACAGGTGATCATACCAGAGGACATAATGCATTTTAAATATCATAAATAAATGGCAGTGACAGAATGGAGCCAACTTTAAAGGATTAGAAGGATAATTCCAGGATACCACAAAGGAAATGATTTTAAATGACCTTTGATTTTTTTTTCTCCTCTTTTGACAGAACTATCAAGTCAAACATAAGAGCACTCTAAAGCAAACAGTAGAGCGACACAAAATTAGACACAGGCTACTTATGAGCCATAAAAAAAGGAATTTTATTTGTTTCAAAATGATTTAGAGGAAATGATTTTACACACGAGACTTTCTAAAATCGTCCAAAAGTGCCCAATACATGATGATAATAATAGGATTTGACTGACAAAACTCTTATTTCTCATGAAACATGAATATTGTATTTAAGTGGAGGACTAATTTCATTACAGCATTATAGCTAATCCAATTTATAGCACCTCATCTGTCTTCATCATCTTTATCGGTGACCTGTGAGATGACTGCACTGTGTTAATGCACTGCAGTTTTTAAACACCATCCTCTCACCCAGCAGAATTCATAAGCCTTTGTGACTTCAATCGCGGAAATTACGCAACCTCTAAAAATGTAATTAAGCCAATGCATGTTATTTATTATGGGGGGGGGGTTATTTTATTGCTGCTGCAATTGACTCATTGCTCACTGTGCTCCGGTGTCTCCAGTGTCTTCTCTGAAGCACGTGAACTAATGAAAAAGGTAATCATTTCTAGATGCTGGAGTAATATTTGCTCATCCTTGAAGGTATGGTGAGCAAATGTTGCATGTCACTGCTGTTGCTTTGAAGTTGCAACACAATAGCAGTACAAACCTTCAGCAAACAGTCCTATAGCAAACCCATGTGACTCCAGCTGCCAAGAAATCCTCTTAACATAAGGAATTACTGTGTATGTGAGCACACAAAGCGTTGTGTTGTTTGCTGCTTCGAATAGTCATAACCTTAATTTTTTGAGTGTTTACTTTGTCCAGCAGTCCAAAGAAAGGTTTCAGAACACAAGCTCCACATAATCCACTCTTTCAAATGTTATTTACAATTTGGAATTTCATGCACGAAAAGCGGATAATCAGCCAGTTGTTTTTTAAATTGTTACTGGCCGACCATTGAAGATCAGTGCTACGTATGGGACTCTAACTGTCTGAACTCCTGACAGACACTCTTTTCTTCCACAAACAAACAGGAGGTTCAGTTAGAAGCTCTGCCTGGAGGCGTGCGGCTCATAGTTTAGCTGATTTCAGATTCCGTGTGATGCATGTTTCCCTTCATGTCTGACTGATCTGTCCCACAGAGGATGCCCCCTGGTATGAGTCTAGTAATGGCCGTCTCATTTTGATGACCTCGGCGGCGGCTGTGGCTCTCTTGGTGTTCATCCTTTCCGTGAGTGTATTCCTGTGCCGCAGGGCCAAGCAAGCCAGGACCAGCAAGGGACCCATGTAAGAAACGGCTGAATGAGTGTTTGCGTCTGCTCTTCTTTCATAGTAAACAATCACTTTGCACTTTGCTTGTGATCTTCATCTTAAATCATGCTCAAAATCTGATGGATAACACACCTCTGAATGCAAGTGTGTGTGTGTGTGTGTGTGTGTGTGTGTGTGTGTGAGTGTGTGTGTATGTGTGTGTGCGTGCCTGCATGTTTATTTGATTTCTTTACAACGCTTTATCCACACTAACTTAGCCGCAGTCTCTCCTCCTACAGTTTGACTTTATATTACAGATAGGGCTATTGCTGTAATATTTCATTCTGTCTCATGTGACAGAACCAGGGCCATTTCAGTTACAGTGTGTGTATATTGCATGCACCTTGGTGTATAATCGGCATTCTTTTTGTGTATGTGTTGTGTATGCCAAGTATTCTTGCAAAAGAACCTTTCTATACACCTGCAGACTAGTACCTGTATTCCGTTATATGTTTTAAAAGGTATTATCCGCACATATTAAAGTCAGCCTCAGCGGGTCTGACCTACTTGACCCCGTCCTTGATCTCTTTCATGCTCCATCCTCTGCCGTGTGTTTCCACACAAAAGCCTGGGCTAATGGCACCAGGTTTGTGATAGTATATGAAATATAAAAAGGACCACAGCAAGGATAAGAACATTAGTGGAGGTCCTATTAAACCTGTACGCTGACCCCATGCAGCTTCACTCATTAACTTCTTATTCACAGAGGCTAAAAAAAGCCTTTTCAAATGAATTTCCATTTGAACACACTTCTACATGATTCCTGTGTCTTTGCTGAAGAAAAAAGTTTAATCTGTACAAATGTGGCTGAGCATGTGCCACCATGACTATATAAGCATATGTGTACAAAGAGAGACAGAGAGCTAAAGAGAGACAAATGGACTTTCATATCAACAGCCAGGTGTGGCTCCATCGCTCAGTTCGAGTCTATAATTTCTTCACTTATACTTTTCTCGTGCCTACTGGGAGGTCGATATACTGATAATCATGCTCCTCTGTCTTGCCCTCTCTCCCTCTCTTCAGTGATGACCGGTCTCAGAAAAAGCCCATCTACAAAGCCAGTTCGGAGTCCCTACCCTCTGCCTGTGGAGACAAACAGCCTCTGGTGTGACTGCACAGGCAGGTGAAAAGGATGAAGAGGGGAGGGGGGAGGGGGGGTGGGAGGAGGAAGATGGAGTGGGTGGCCAGAAAATGAGGGATGGCATAGAGAGGATACTTAAAGAGGGAGGAAATGGTATAGGGTTATGGATGGTTACATTGGGGGAGGAGAGAGGGAGGAAAGGAGGGAGGTAAAGAGGGGTATTGGAAGACTGTAGGGAGAACAAAATCAAAATCGGTAACAAGCTGGGTGTATGAAAAAAAAAAACTGAAGGGGAAATGACTGCTTTAGGGACACAGAGGCTGCTTGTGGGAGTAGACTGAAGTCATGTGTCTTGGACAAAAAAGGTGGGCAATTTTATCTTCATTTATTGTGCAGTGTGGAAAATGGGGAGCTACATTCTTAGGCAGTACGATGGGAGGATGATTCTTGTGTACTGTAAGAGCTGAAAAGCCTGAACATGCAATTCTCTCCTTTCTGTTGCAAACATAATTGCTCAGCTGTGTATTTTGAATGAACCATTTGGGCGACAGGAAAAGGTTTTATTTTGTTGATTTGTTTTCCTTTCAGCCTTTTTTTTTTCCAAAGCAGAACCAGCTCAAAGGATCTGTGAAAATGTTATTATAATCTCTTTACCATGACAGCTCTCAAGCACATTGCACTCTACTGTTTAATTTAGTGTACTTTGGATTTCTTCTATATTAAATGGCTTTCAGAATAAAATATTATTTACTGTCCTGCTGTGTGCCATTGATTTTGTTCCATTTTAGAGATACAAAAGAGGTTAGGGAATATTGACAATATGGTGAAAGCCAGACATGCATGTGTGCTTGGCTGCACATCTTCTTGATCCGGTGCTCGCTCGCTCTTGCATCAGCTTGTTTACCAACCTTCCCCTTCAGTCTGTAAGACCTCACTCTGAAGCAATGACCTTTACTCAAAGTTCTGTGCCTGTACCTGCTTGTGTTTTTCCCATCTGTCTGTAAGCACAAAACCCATTCTCAGTCAGTTCAGGTCACAAACACTCGCATGAACTAAAGACTCCCACTAACACAGAGTGAGAATAATTGTAGAGTTAGGTTACCTTGAAGCTTTGCCCATTCATTGCAGGAGCAGGCAGGGTTAGCCACTGCTAGTTCTTTTTTAACGTGACTAGATTTAGTCTATTCAGACCCCCCCCCCCCCTTCCCCCACCCAAACGAAAAACAACCATCATAGCCTACAACTTCATCTTTTTAATTTTCTCCTCTGTTGCCTTGTAACCCTTAACGCTGTGCCACAGCACCATCGCTTATTACCATAACCGTGCTCATAATACTGAGAATTTCATTACACTTGTCTGTTGAAGTTATGTAGGGTTTTATGTGGTTTTATTATCGGTGTGTGGTTGACCGTAGGCCGTCGTTAATAATGGGCGAAGTGGCAGTTCAACAATGACACTCTATTAACGGGTGCATGCACCACAGAGCACAGCCAGGATAATGTTATTAAACTGATTATTCAAGCCCCCTGTGCAGCTCGCCTCTGCTGCAGTCATTTTTACAGACTTCTTGTATTTCTTTTTGCAACTCTACAAACTTGTGCTTACGTTATGTTTTAGGTCAAGCCCAGGAAAATAGAGACAACAGAGGTAGGGAGGCTATAACCAAAACAGAGAGACTTTTTTTTTTTTTTTTTTATATATAAAAAAAACAGTCACGCTCTGTTGGGAAAAAATACAATGCTGTAAATTTAAAATGCCTTCCTGCATGTGAAATGCCAGCGAGCACCATTTTGTTTTGGCCTTTGAGTCAGTCATGAGTGAAAAGCGGTGCGCTCCCTTGTGGGCTTTGGTCCAGGGGCTTCATACGGTTGGCCAGAAAAGACAAGATTATGTATCAGAAATTTCACACAGTGGAGCTTTCCCCGAGGTACTGGGCTCTGTTTGGGAGGGAGAGAAGTGTAGTTTACAGTGACATTTTGACCTTGGTAGTGGCTCATGGATAAACTACCAGACAACTGCTTAGGGCAATGCAGGAGCGGTGCACGGAATACCGAGCAGCCCAAGTGCTTTGTCTTTTTCCAGGCGGGGTCCTAACGGGACGAGGGTGCAGATCTGTGACATTAAAGTCAGCAAGTCAGGTAGGCAAACGTCCTGGCTCCCCTCAGCACGCAAGCCGTTATGTAAAGGTGAGTTATACCACACATGGCACCTCGTTGACTAATACACTGAAGTGTCAGACATTTGTATCTGTATGCCATCACCCACTGCTGTTCTGGTCACGGTCACTTGGCTTTGTATGTGCATCCTGCATATGTTGTGTCAAATGGCTGAAAATGAAGGAGTGAAGTTTTCTGGTGAAGCAGGTGTTTTCCCTCATTACTTCCTGACAATGCCCCATCTGGTGCGGGGGAGCTGCTGCCACCGACTCCCTGCCAAGTGGGGAACAAACACTCGCAGAGAGGCTGACAGGGAAAAATGGGATGGGATGGGAATTGGGGGAATGAGCAGGGCAGACATTATCCTCGCCAAAACAACAAGGTTAGAACTGGAGTCAAGAAAAGAAAGTCGTTTGGTGGCGAGAGCCTGGAGCTGAGACTTTAAGATTTCACACAGATCCGTAAGTCGAGGTCAGATATGAGGCGAGAGTTCTAAGCAACTTTAAGGAAGTCAAGGATAGAAGTATTAATATTAATGCTAACAGACTGCTTTGATGCTTTACTGCCTGACTCAACTTTTCTGAATGTTTGAACCAAACTGACCGAAGTGTCTGGAGGATTTGTGACAGATGAGAGAGGCGCCAAAGCAGATTTGAGACCCATGACGTGCTATATCTAATGTTGCCTGAGGGGGGCGCCAAAGATACAGTTTCAGAAAGATGCCCTCAGGCCATGGAGGCTAGAAGCCCATGGTATAACACTAGATTAGGGGGTGGGTGGGGGGTGTAGAAAGAGAGAAACAATTTTCATAATGGAGCCGCGCTATCTGACTGGAAAACACAATTATGGGCAAACTGTGGCCACAGCATGAGGGTAAAGTTAAAGAGCCCCTTTAGCAGGACCTAATAGGCCCTGACTACAGATGAGCAGAAACACTGGCTCGTCCGGAGCACAAGTTTTTGTTCCGGGCCATTACCATTATTGTGAACGGTGATTTAACTGTATACAGCTTGGTCTGTTCCTGCTCTCCTTCATGAGTCCTATGCACATTTTGGAGACAAAGCAGCTTCTGCAACAAAATGTCCCCAAACTCCACTACACCTCGAGGCTGCTGCACATATCAGACGATTTGACACGGAGTTTTTCTTTTTTCGTGAAAATAATTACAGTTTGCCATCATATCAACCTTAAAATGTGGAAACGGTGAGTCCACCTGATTACTAACATGCAGATGAATCAACTCACATAATACACCCAACTGATTAATCTGCACAGTCTGTTCCCAACTGACTTCAGAATACAATGCATGATTGCGATATTATTGTCTCTTCCAACAACAAACATCTGTTTCATTTTCGTCATCTTAATCATTGTGCCACACATCCTTTTCGGTCGGTGGAACTGAATTTGAAATAAATTGGTTATTTGCGTCGGGAAATTAATGTTGGTTATCAATCACATTTAGAGCGAACTGATTTCAATTAATTGGAAGATACAGCCCCCCCCCCATTTCTTTTTTTAAAGCCCAGCCCCTCTTTCTCATCCGCACACCCCTCCACCTGCTCCTGCTCCCTGCAATTGGTCAGAATGACACACGGGTCCGCCTTATTGGCAAGCTTTTAAATATATTTACAATGTAAAGTAACCAAGAAAAACCGGCCAAGCCTTCACATTCCGGCATCCGGAGAGGGAGAAAGTGGGTGTGCATGAGAGGGAACATTACTATGTAAAGAGCTGCTGTTACGCACTGAGCGTTTGATAAAACACACACACACTCGTTCACGCACAGTCGTACGCGCGCGCACTCACACTCATACACACACACACAAACACACACACACATACACACAGACGCTGAAGGCGCTGTCGGAGAGTGGACCTGCGGGTTCATGTCACTCTGATTTCTCCAAGGAAGAGGAATACTGAGCAAGAGATCAGAGGGGAATATCAGCGACAGCGATGGCTTTCGCGACCGTGTGGAACTACTGCGTCCCTCTCACCATCATCACAGTCGCCTGCTTGGTGCGCACTGGTAAGGCTCGAACCACGGAATGAATGAGTGTGATGTGAATGAAAAGAGTGTTACGCCGTTTCGATGTGTCGCGCAAGTTTTGCCCCAAGTCTTCTAAAGAAGAAGCCGAATGACGCTTAGAAAAACGCACCGGCTCGATTTGTCAGGAAGGGGGGAAAGGGAGGAAGGAGGAGCGCACCGCGGGACGAAAACACGTGCAGATATTTCAGTTTACAACCATGCTGCGGACCACTATTAGTATTCACCACTGGGTAATTAGACTCAAACCCCTTTGCGCAAATGTGGTCTACATCCGTGCTGCTACTTGGTTATGAGTCATTGTGTTGACCACTTATCGAAAGTGAGAGGGTGGAAAGACCCTGAAACACCCCAACACAGGAGCAAAAGTGAAAGGCGCAGGCTCACGGTTACTTTTTACCCACGCGGAAATATTAAGAAAATGAAATCACCGCATGCTCTTGTCGACCTTTATGTGTCATAAAATTTTGGTTGTTTTTTCCGGACTGGCGGTGATTGGGATGTGTTGTATGTGTGTGTGTGTGTGTGTGTGTGTGTGTATGTATATATATATATATATATATATGATGGGACGCGAGACTGTGACATATGCCGCCTGTGCATACAGCTGTGCATGTAGCCTACAGAGCTCCGATTGAATATTCCGACAGCCACATGAGCGACTACAAATGTCCGCAGTGGACCAGACATGTGTCACACACCAGACTCAGCAGTGGTGTCTGTTACTGCGTTTATATTCTGCAGTAGTGTGGGGGAACTGAAAGGACCTTTGAGACCTCACCTTATCAGCGACAATAACATCTAACAATCTATTACAAAGCCTTCGAATGGCACCTGCAGCGCCTCTGCTGCTTTTATTCTCCCCACTGGAACATCTCAGCCTGGGATAGTCCTGCATCGCTCCCTTGTAGGCATCATATATTTCATGGTCACTACCCTATAACAAGTGCATCTGCTGCAAAAAAAAAAAAAAGAAAAAAGAAAAAGGGATTTGGATAAGACTCAATCATAAGTCTGAGCAACTTTAGCCTCATGGTATTCTGTGCCATCTGCTTGTATGTGGATTGAAATGCAGACTCGCAACAACCCTTATTAAATTTCACCAAAAGCTTCAGTGATTCTGACGGAACCAGAATGGTAACGAGGAAGTGCACACTGTTGTTGCTCCAAGGGTTTTGTGTTCTGTGCTTGTTGTGCTCTGTGGGGCTTTGTTTACGTTGTCCTGAGGCAGTGAAAGGGTTAAGTGCTGGGTCGGGCATTGTCACGGTCAGACCTGTGCTGTGCTGTTGTGATGATGTCTCTTGTTTATAAGGGAGCACTCTTTTCCTCCATAGACGTTCTCCTGGTTGCACTGATAACCAACCTCACCATGGCCTGTTTATTGATTTCTTCTCATGTGTGTGTGTGTGTGTGTGTGTGTGTCTATTTGTATATCTGCTCCAAGAACAGTGTATGGTTCATTTTTATGCATGAGTGTGTAGGCATTTGTATTTTACTAAGTACTGTGAGATTTTTATGTGTGTGTGTGTGCTGTCCATTTCTGAATAT